TCCATGTGAAGGGATTGGGTTCAATCTCAAGGACTGAGAAAAAAGTTCAGTGGTCCAGGTTGGAGAGGGTGAGGCTTGAGCTGCAGGGAGCCAAGGAAGGGCAGGAGGAGATGCAGGTGAGTGGTGCACAGCCAGAGCAGCCGAGCTGCCGGCCTGGGACCCGAAGGGCTGAGCAGCAGGCAGCTGGGTCTGGGCACAGAGCGGTCCCGGGGGCCCTAAGTGTGAGCTTCCTCCCCACGCTCCTTCCATCCTGCTGTGCGTGGGCCCCAGCGCTGCGGCCACGGAGCCCCCGGGGAACACAAGGAGCCATGAAGCTGCAGCAGTGGGACCACAGGGCACAGGAGCGGTGTCTTGGAAAACGGGTTCACCCTGGGCGGAAGCTGTGGCACTCGGGTCCCTGGTGCCCCCCTGGCAGCGTGTCACCAGACACACAGAAGGTACCCAGAAGACACCGCTCGAGTTGGTAAATGGATGACTTAGCCACAGCACCCACGTGGGTAATGGCAGCTGTAAGTGTAAACCACAGCCACTGCCAACTGTATCCGGCAGTGAAGGCAACAGCCAGAACTTCTGGACAAAGGAGATAATTAAAGGAGAAACCAAAATGGGCAATGATTTAGAAAGAGAGCACTGAGAGTCAGTGCTCAGTGTGTGGCCCCCTCAGGCTGCGGGTCCTGCCGGCAGCTTTCTAGGAACCCCCTTGCCAGTTCGCCCCTTTGTTTCCCGCCATCCTGGCTCCCATTTATCAAGGGTCTCCTTTTATTTGAAATGGTTCTGTGTGGGTCGCATCTCAAGTGCATGCACTGGGCCAAGTTGTCCATTTTTCTCTCTCCTCTGTTAGAGACGCAGTAGCGTCTTTGGTCCAGCCCAGCCCCTCCACGCCATTACTCCTTTGTGGCACCAAATCTCATCTGACCACGAGCCCTTCTGTTGCCCTTGACACCATTACATCCTCAGACTGAGAAGGACAGTACCACACGGTATCATTCAGATGTAGAATCTTAAGAAGTTAGTCTTGCCAGACATGGTGCTGCACGCCTGTAATATCAGCTACTCAGGAGGCTGAGGCAGGAGGATTGCAAGTTTGAGCCCAGGCTGGGCAACCTAGTGAGACTCTCTAGTTCAGTGGTAGAGTGCTTGCTTAGCTTGTACGGGATCATAGATTTGAGTCCTAGAAACACACATGTACACACGCACACACACACACAACACGAGTTGGTCTCAGAATAGACAGTAGAAGAGTGGGTATGAGAGGCTGGGGAAAGGTTGGTCAAAGTGTACAAACTTACAATGAGATAGGAGGAACAAGTCCTGGTATTCTATTGTACAGTAAGGTGACTATAGTTGGTAATAATTACTGTATATTTCACAATAGCTAAAGGAGGATTCTGAATGTTTTCACTACAAAGAAATGATAAATGTTTGAGGTGATGGATATGTTCATCACCTTGATTTTATTCTTATACAACATATACATGTATCGAAGCATTGTATTGTACCCCATAGATCTCTCCATCAATTATGTGTCCATTAAAAATAATGTTAAAAACTTCCTCAAAATCACACCACTCTATACATCTAGTTCTCAACTTGTGTTTTCCCAATCGACATAGCCATTGGTTCATCCAAGTTGCCACTAGAGAACCAGCTCGTTTAATAAATTGCTGTATGGTTTTCCAACGCCTCAACTGCCATTTTTCATCTGTATCTTCTCCTGAGGGCGGGCATTTTTGTCTGTGATCCTGTCATGACTGCAGTGCCCTAATGAACATTCTTGTACCTGTCAGCTTGTGTGAGTCTCTCTAGGTCCAGGCGGCACGTTGGAAATGGACCTGCTGATTGCGCAGTGTGTGTGTGTGTGTGTGTGTGGCGGGGGGTGGGGGGGGTGGACCCACAACCGGGGCCACAGGTTTCTGTGGCTCTTCTCGTGATGAGGTGCCGTCTACTCTGCCCCCTCATGCACCTTGGCCTGTCTTGGGACTCTGGGACTGACAGAATGGGGCAGATGTAACACTGGGCAGATTGGGCACCTTGGCCTCAGGGGACCGTGTGGCTCCTGACTCGGCCCTGTCGGAAATGGACAGCCTGTAGCAAGGCAAGCGGCGTGGACTTGTGAGCTCTTAAACCTGTCACCAGCTTGGCCCACCCCAGGCCACCAGCGACAGATTCCTCCCTTCCTGGCACTGTCCCAGGCCCTCTTCAGGTTCTCAGGTCCCTTCCAGGAACAACAGCTGTCAGTCCCAGAGCATCTTCCTGGATTCATCAGCAGGGAGAAAGGCGGGAAGAGGGAAGTGGTTTGCACAGTGCATCACCCTCTCTGGGGTGGACACCTTGTGCCTCCTCCTAGGCCTTTCTTTGGGGGGTTCTTTAGTCCTCTGTGCAAACCCACCCTTGATGATCGATGGGGGTCCCTAGGAGGTGAGGACCACACCCAGAGTCCTGGAAGTGCTGGCCACCAGGCCTGGGGTCAGCTGGGTGAGGAATATGTGCACCTTCTGGGGAGGAGTCGGGCACTCCAGAGATGTGCCTGGGAAGCTCAGTCTCTTCCTGTAGCTCCTTAAAGTCCCCTGGCTGCAAGTCAATGTGAATCTGGGTGAGCACCAGCCCAGAAGCCCCAGAGCCTACCAGGCTGTGCCCACTGCCCAACCTGCGAGGGCACAATGGCCTCGGCTCAGGCTCCACCCCACCACACGCGGCCACATCATCTGCAGCGGGCGACTGGGTCACTACGGTGCCAACACTGCAGTCCAAGCAAAATGTTACCCTGGGCATCAGCCCCCAAATGCCTGCCTGGCCTGCGAAGGCAGCACTTGGAGCGCGCTTCTGTTTGGGAGCCAGCAATGGCCGCCATGCTCTTTCTGCGGTTGATTTGAAGCTATTAAAATCAGGGCCCAGCCTCTCTCGTCCACCCATCTTCGAATTCGACTGCGTCGTCTCCAAGCCGTGCTCTCGGGGGATCTGAGTGTGTCTAGGTCTAGGCTTCTGTCTGAACTGAGGGCTGGGCCACCCCAGGGTCTAAGGAGGTGAGAGTCCACTTGCGGTCACCTCCGCCTCCAGCTGCAGGTCCGGGGGAAAGGCATCCAAGGGATAGCACCCCCAGCTGTCACTCTGGGAGGGTGAAGCAGGAGGGTCACAAGTTCTAGCCCTGCTAGGGCAGGATAGTGAGACCTTGACTCAAAATAAACATAAAAAAAAACTGGGCTGGGCGCGCAGCTCAGGGCAAACGCCTGCGTCCATTCAGTATCACAACAAACAAACAACAGATCCCGTCGCAAGGAGGCGGCAGCGACAGCTGTCTTTGGTGGCCCCTGCAAACGTGATCCTCAGGGCCAAGCAGCGCCCTCTGAGCCCCACAGGGTCCCACTGGTCACAGAGATATTTTCCTAGCAGGCATGTGGGAGGGGCAGGGTGCGCTCAGCGGAAGTGGATGTGACCAGGCTTCCTGGTTTAGCTTCCGGCTACACCCTGGGGTTGCCCACGGTGGGGGTGGGGGGGGGGTGGGGCTGCCCTGGCCTGGGTGGGGGGATTTATCAGCGACAGGTGGATTTCAGTTTCCTGCTCCTCTTCTGGACATACTCCTACTCCCTAGAGAAAAACCTACCCTTCTTGAAAAGTAGCATCCAGAGCACTCGAGTCTCCTGGCAGAATTTCGGATTTTAGAAACTGGGTTTTGTGGGGGGATGGAGCCCCGGGCCTGGCACAGGCTAAGCGGGTACTCGACCCCCAGCCCCAGCCCAGCCCAGGAGTTTGTAAGCTGCAACCCTTGGTTCCAAGTTTGGGCCAAGGCCTTGCTCGCTAGTAGTGTTTGCGGCCTTCCCGCGGACCCCGCCCCTCTGTCAGGCGCTTCTTGGCACGGGACTTGGGCTGCGGGAGGGAGGGTGCCCCTGGACGCCAGCCCTCTCCACTGCTGCCCGGCTGGTCCTGCAGGGCAAAGTCGGTCGGCTCAGCCTCGCTCGGCCTCCCGTCACGCGCCCCCACGCAGGTCGCAGGTGCACGTCGCTCCCGCCCCTGTGGAGCCAGCACACGGCCACCCAGAGCTCCTCCCCGCTTCTGCAGGCCTCTGCCCCGTAGCCTGTCATCCGGGCCCTCAGTAGCGTCCCCACCCCAGGCCACCCAGGGGCCACCCCTGTCACCTCTTGCCCTGTGGCCGTCGCAGGCCCGAATGGCTTCCAAGGCTCCTGCCCCTTGCACCTAATCTAAGGTTTGCATTGTTTGCTGGCTTCGCGTTCCTCCCTCCCTCTCTTCCCTCCGATCCTTCTTTCCTTCCTTCCAGTATTGGGAATCGAACACAGGACCTATCTATGGATCATTTATTTATTGAGGCACGGTCTCGCTAAATAGCTAAATCACCCAGGCTGACCTTGCACTTGCGAGCCTCCTGCCTCAGCCACTCATAGTGCTGGGATTACAGGTGTGCGCCCCCACAGCGGGCTGGGTTTAAATGTTCTGTCTGCACCGCAGTGCCCGTGCTGACTCTCAGCACTCACGTGATCCCGAGGCCTCCCGCCCGCGTTTCTCCCACCTTCCTTCGAAGCCCGCGCGCCCCCGCAGTTAGGCTGCGCCTGGCGTCACTGGGGAGACCCGGACAGGGTCCTCTCCTTGCTGGGCGCCTCCGCTGCCTCGCTTCGCAACGCCTGGCGGCTGGGAAGGGGTGCGGGGCGCGGCCCGCGTTGCTTCCCCTGCGTCCCCTGCGTTGCCATCCACTCTCGGGCTGCGACTGGCGGGGGCGGAGTCGGCACGTGGTGCCAGGCTGGAGTAGGTGGATGTGCGGGGTGGGTATCCCCAGCCGGGTTCCTGCGAGGCCTGGGTCTCAGTTTCTCGCGGAGGAACCGTGGACGGGCCCCTGTCTGGGCCTAGGAGTATGGGGCCCCCCTCAGCTGTCCCAGGGCCTTGAACGCTGGCCCGTGCTGCCCCTGTGCGCACGTGCGCTCGGAACCCACTGCACGTGTGGCGCACCCACGCCCCCCCCCGCCCCATTGCATTTTGCGGAAGTAGCAACAATTAGTCACTCCGCTGAGTGATTCAAAGGGGTCTGCACGCTGGAATTGCCCCTCTCCTGCCGGGAAGTGGGGACGGGGAACGCCCGGCTGCGCCCCAGGTCGGGCCGCTGGAACCCCACTCCAAAGGAGTTGGAACAGCAATCGACAAATGGGGGAACAGATCAAACAGGACGCCTCAAGGGGGAGCTGAGCCACGAGGACGGGCCAGAGGGTCCGGGGCCCCAAGGCTGGAACAAAGGCCGCCCTCAAGCGCCCAGGGCGCGGCGCCATCCAGTCCTGTCCGGCGCGGTCCCCAGGGACGCCGCCGTGACCAGGAGCTGCCTCTCCGTGCCGAGCAAGCGGAGGGGCTAATTAGTGCTTTTAATATGCAAATCAGGGCCCGGGCAGATTCATCCGGGGCACAAAACCAGCCGGTGAATATGTTATTTTAATTATTACTCCCAAGGAGATAGGGTCTGGCTTAAGAGGGTGGGCAGGCCAGCGGGGTGACGCTGTGTAGAAGGACCCTGGTGAAGGCGACACACCCAGCTGGGAAGGGCCTGCTTCGCGGGTGTGGACGGAGGGAGCATGCAGGGGCCGCCTGTGGGCCGACAGCTGCTCCCTCAGGCCTCTGCCACAGTGACACGCGCAGGAGCCCGGTGAACACAGTCGCCGTTCATTCGTTCGTGCAGTGGACATTTCCTGGTGGTCCAGCATGTGCCAAGCCCTGCACCAGGTATTAGAGATATTATGGAGACCAACAGCAGCCGGGACTTTATCTTGCATTCTATTTATTTTTATTTATTGTTTTTAAAATTGGGGATTGAACCTAGGGCCGTCCTGCTGCGCTACATTCCTAGCCACTTTTTTAAATTTTAAGACAGGAGCCAAGTCACTAAATTGTCCAGGCTGGGCTTGAATTTGTGATCCTCCTGCCTCAGCCTCCCAGAGTGCTGGGATTATAGGCGTGCACCACCACGAGTGGCTTGCAGCTTGCCTTTTAAGGAGGGAAGGTGTGGTGCCCAGTAACCCAAATACAGGTGGAGGAGTTGCCAGGTGGAGGAGTTGCCGAGAAGGGAGGGCCCAGAGGCAGAGTGCCGTAGGGACTGAGGCTTGGCTGGGCAGGGTGGCCAGAGAAGGTGGAAGTGCAGTTAGGCTGAGAGCTAGAGGGAGAAGTGGAACCAGGGTGTGACGAGGACAATCCCAGGGCATGGATCCAGTGCATTATGGGAAGTGGGGGAGCAGGGGACACGACACACTCAAAGCAAATGGATAATAACTCAGGTGAGCCGATCCTGACTCAGTTTCTCTTTTGCAACTAGAGCGAGGAAGGACACGTTCATTTGGGAAGTCCATTTTCCCCACGATCCGATCCTCTGTGTCACATTGGCTGCTGGGACTCCAGACCCCGATTCAGTAAGCAAATAAGAACTTACCAGGGGGCCGGCGAGACCCCCACAGGAGCTCGTGTGTGTGTGTGTGTGTGTGTGTGTGTGTGTGTGTGTGTTCTCCCGCATGTGCCTGCAGCTGGCGCCCTGGGCTGGAAAACTCACGGCCAGCTTTCGCCTCCTTGGAAAACCCTAGCAGACTTCCTAATCAGTCCTTGTCCTCCTGCTGGGGACTGGAGTCGAGAGCTCCCCAGTCCCCCCCCACCCCCCCCAATTGTGCTACACGGGGCCTGGGCCACGGGACACGCCTGCGGCTCCCTGCTCCCATCCTTGGCCCGGTGCCTGCCTGTTGCAGTGCTTTTACTTTATGGGAAACGACAAAACAAAACTCAGAGATCAAGGTGTTCCTCCAGTCACACGCGGAGGGACCTCAGTTCCACTTCCTTGGGTCCGGGAGCAGAATAATAGAGAAACAAATGAAAAATTCATTCTTCTCCATCATCTTTGCCCAGAGGTGGCTGGGAGAGAATTCCTTGCACGGGATGCAGAGTAAAGGAGGGAAAGTCCAACGAGTCACATTCTTAGAGGAGAAAGAAAGAAGAGGAAAGAAACAGAAGCGGAAGGAAGACAGAGGAGGGACAGAGAGGTGGTGTTGCGATGGGAGACAGGAAGAGACTGGAGACAGGAGGACAGGGGTTGGGGGAGGATGGGAGGGTGCAGGAGGTGACCCTGGCCCTGGTCCCCGCCAGCGAGCACCCTGTAGACAGGCCTCTGCAGGCCCCGCGGGCAGCCATGGATGAAGTGACACTCCTTTCCAAGCAAACAAGTTTGCAGCTCATGTGTGCCCCCAGCTCCCCACTCTGCTGGCCAGGCTGGCAGGGGGAAGTGGGAAAGGGTCGGGGACAGGTGGCCCAGGGCCTCAGGGCAGTGTCACAAGTGAGCTCTTTGTGCTACCCCAGGGCACAGGTGGATCCCTGCCACGGTCAGAGCCTCCCTCAGAAGGATAAAGGGAGCCGAGGCTTGGGGAAGTGGCATTGCCTGACCAGGGCCACAGGGTGAGCAGTGACAGCTGGAGGGCCTGTGCAGGGGCCATCGGTCTACACCAGGGACAAGTGCTCCTCGGCACCCCCTGAGCCCCACACTGTGTGGGAGCCAGGGTTGCAACCCCCAGTTAGACAAAGAAGCAGCCCAGAGCCAAAAGGGCAGGGCCAGGTTGGTGCAGGGGACCAGTGCAAGTGCAGAGGATGCAGTAACGGGTTCAGGGAGCAGCAGTTGTTGGTCATGGCCGGGGTCTATGCAGAGGGCCCTGCTGTCATCTAGCCAGTCCTGGTGATGGTGCCGTTCAGCCCAAGGTCTGACCTGGGTGTGCTCCCAAGGGTTTCGGGGGAGGCTTTCTGGAGGAGACTGACCAAGCTGGGCTCTGGAAGAGCTGGGCTATGCTTGGTAAGGGAAGTTGCAAAGGGCCCAGCAAGCAGAGGATCAGCACAAGCAAAGGTCTTCGGGTCCAGCCATGCAAAGGTCATGGCAAACTGAAAACAGCAGAATGGGATTATGAGTCTGGGAGTTGAGGATGATGGCGTGGGCAGGAGGCAGGCCCCAGGGCTGAGGGAGGTGCTGAAGAGTTGGGGAAGGGGTCACAGTGATTTCTAGAAGTCTGGGAAGCCCCCTGTGATTGACTAGTTGGGAGCTGTAGCTACGGTCTGGGTCAGGAACAAGGTCCACCCAGCCAGGCAGAGCAGAGAGGTAGTCAGGAGTGACCTGGGCAGAGACTCAGTGGAATTTGCTCAGAGTGTGGGAGGAGGCAGGACTTCCAGTGACCCTGGGTCTTGGGGCTGGAGGAGCTGCCCACCTGCAGAGTCAGGTGTACCGTGTTCAGGATGTGGTGGTTGGAGGAGCCCTGAGGCAGCTGGGGAGATGTGATGCTCAGGGTCATGTCTGGGCAGCGGGACGGGCCTCCTGGAGAGGGCCTCAGAAGAGGCCAGGAGCTGTGGCATTCAGGTGTCTGAGCTACGGGCAGAGGAAGTGAGTCTGCAAAGAAAGTAGTGCCACCACCCAGGGGACCTGGAGGGATGGCGCTTTGCAGGCAAGGACCAGGGCTGAGGGGCAGCCACAGTGCCACGTGCCACAGAGTGGCCTGAGTGCAGGACTGAAGTGTCCCTGGGGTTTTGCCACAGGGTGGCCGGGGACAGACTCGAATTTGGTGGAGGGGGACAGAAGCCACCTGTAGTGATGGAGAAGGATGAGTGTCGTTACCAGTGATCAAAAATGCGGAGAAGGCTGTGCCCAGCGCCATCCAGGGAAAAGGCAGGCTGGTAAAGACACGACGGCGTCCTATCCCCCAGCTCTGGCCCTGGCACTTCTGGCTCTTTCCCAAAGTCAGAATGACCAGGAAAAGTAAAGGTTTTCTCTGCATCCATTCAGGACTTCAAGGCAGCCAGGACACGAAAAGACCCTCATGAAGGAGCACTCCCAGAACTGCTTCAGAAAGTGGCAAGAACAATGGGATAATCGAGGAGGAGTATTCTGAAGGAGATTAATGGCAGCATGTCTTTTACTATAGTAACATTTTAAACATTTAAATGCCATATTTTCTGATCATACTGCACAGTTTGAGAAGTCACATACCATGACTTCCGCCACTTTCTGTTAGAAGCAGGTTGCTAAGTATGGCCCACACTTCTTTTTTTTTTTTGAGAGAGGGTCTTTCTTGTAGTTCAAGTGAGCCTTGAACTCACTATGTAGCCCAGGCTGGCCTCGAACTTGTGGCAATTTTCCTGCCTCAGCCTCCCGAGTGCTGGGATTATAGGCAGGCGCCACCATGCGTGGCCCCAGGTGAGAACATTAAACTCCAAAGAATCCAGTGTATGGTGTTAATAGCCGATACTGGCTTCATGCTGATCTGATGGGTGGCTGAAGGAGACGTGAACTGAGTTGAGAGGTGTCCTTTTCTTGGGGGGACTACTTTGAATTGCTTGGAGAACAGGCTTGCTGCATGGATGGGGTGGCAATCAGTAGACTCCCGCTCAGAAACAGTGCTGCTTGGCCCTCTTGGAATCCGGATGCCTACTACAGAGCTACGGAGGCGTGTGGGGCAGGGTTGTCCTCAGCGCCTGGGGCAGGTGTGCAGGTGACAGGCATAGACCTGCTGGGTGCAGACCCACAGCCCTTACAGTCTGGGAAGCAGGCAGGAGGTGGAGAGACGCTGCGTCTCTGTAGGGTACATGCCTGAGCTGCTTGGCATTCATTCCCATGCTCACCCACAGCCTCCACTGAGCACCTGGTGGCTGCAATGAAGGACACGGAGACGGGGAGGGACCTGCAGCAGTCACGCTGACTGGCCTCCTGAAGTCAGGTTGACAGGGCCACCAGCGGCTGGCCATGTTCCAGTCAGCTCAGACTTCACTTCCATTTAGGGTTTCTGTGCTGGGCACAAATCCGTCTGTCCTCAAACCACTGTCAGTGGAACCTTCGAGTCAGCTTCCTGCTGGGGAATTTGAATGTCATGTATAGATCCAGTCAGTTCTTTCTTTCAAGGACCAAGGCTTTTCTGATCCCCCAGCTTAACATTTCTCATCACCCTGGTGGAAAATTGGATAGTCCCAGGATAGGATTCTCACTGCCTCTCAAAGAAGCCCATCATACCACCACAGTCCCTTCTTTTGTGGACAGAAAATGGTCTTCCTGCGAGTCCAAATATTGGCTGTCCTTCTGCCGCTGGAAGCCCAGCAGGTTCCTCCTGTTGCATCAGGACTGGAACAGCTTGTGAGAAAGCTGTGGATGCAGATAGCCTGGGTGCCTCCTGCCCTCCTGCTGACCAGGGATGTGAACTTGAGGAAGTACCTGGAGCTTCTGAGCTCTAGCTTCTTCACCGAAAGGGAAATAATGCAGTGCTGACCTCAGAGTGATGTTGAGTGAATCACGTGGGCGAATGCTTGAGGAATGCTGGTGTAAAGGATGCACTAAAAAAAATATGGCCATCCTATTGTTATTGTCATTTTCCAAAGCAATGGGCCCTACAACGTTAAGGCAGGGGAATGAGTTGATAAGCAAGTGGAGGTTAATAAATCTTAGAACTTTGGGCAAAAGCATGCATTCTGAATTACAAGGGAGGATTCCATTATTATATGGAATTATGAAACAAGGTTGGGCTTATGAACAATGATTGTTCTTGAATATATTAATATACAGAGAAAACCTATGGGGGAGGCAAGAGAAGGAAGAGGACGGGACACAGGGAGAACCTGAGCTGCAGCTCAGGGGCCTCGGACAGCTTTGGTGGACCCCATGGTGATCTCAGGACCCCGAAGGCCCTTCCTCGTTGTCCCAAGTTGGGCTGATGTGGTCAGCCCTTTGTGTTCCCAATGGATCAGTTTGTGTGTGGGCTGCACTGGAAGGGAGGTGACCTTGGCTGGAGGATTCATGAGGCTGAGGTAATCCCTGCAGGAGCCAAGAGCTGAAGTTTGTCCGCCAGTGGCACTCCAGCAGGGGAACACAAGCCCCGGTGAAGAGGGCCCGGGTGGGCTGTCGCAGGGCCCTGCACAGTCCACCCCTTGTGCCACTGGGATGCACTTCTTCAGGTTTGTCCTGGGTGTCCCTCCTTTAGGGTCCAGGTGGACCTCTGCTCCTGAGAAGAGGAAGGTTGTGGGGCCACTGGGGCTGGAACTGCAGCCAGTCCCAGGCTCACTAGTGGCTAGTTGCTGTCTCATCTCCCTTCTGCACTAGTCCCTTTGGGTCCCCTCTCTCCGCTGGCACTGTTCTGCTCTAGCAGACTGCATGAGGGTCTCTGACTCCTAGACACCATGTTCCTCCTGGAACCAGGTCCCTGCACTTTATCATTTACCTCCACAGTTGGGTAGTGGAATATTGAGAGTTGGCCTGTGGTCTGCCTGGGTGCCAAACGTGGTCTTCCTCGCCCTCACTGCGTGGCACCTGGGCTGCTTTCCTTGTTGATGAATCCGGGGCAACCTGCTGTGTCAGGATGGTGACTCGTGTGTGGGGCCTGGGATCCTGAAGCATCTGGCAGCACTTGAAGGGTGTAACCAAGTGGGCTTCTTGGCAGTCTCTGCGTGGAGTTGTTCTTCACGAGAACAGCACCTCTACATCTATAGGGGTCAAGATTGTGGGGACAGGAAGTACAAATGAGTGCCCCAGATGAGTCACTGCAGGCTGTGGTGGGCAGGAATTCTTAGTCTGTTGAAGCTACCGTAACACAGTACCACAGATTGGGTGGTCTAAACTATAGACGTTTATTTCTTCACAGCCCGAGATCAAGATGCTCTGTGAAGCCTCTCTCCTTGGCTTGCAGATGTCTGTATTCCTCTGTGGGTGTCTACATCCTACTCTTCTCAGAAGGATGCCGGTCATATTGCATTAGGGCCCAACAACATGACCTCATTTTTTACCTTAGTCACCCTTTTAAAGGTTCTGCTTCCAATTACCATCTTATTCTGTGGTAGTAGAAGTTAGGGTTTCAACATATGCATTGGGGGAAGGAAGCACAGTTGAGCCTGCAATATGCTTCTGTGTCTCCCTCCCATAGTCCTGAATTGCATCCTTCTGATCTATGCATTCTCCCTATTAGGGCACAGTGCTACATAAAGGACTAGGATTTAAGTGGCATATTGTACCCTGGAGGAGGATACCCCATCTTTGCAAAGCATTACTTTAACCTGGGATACGGTTGTGGCTGTACAGCAGTCTAGATACTGAGTAGTGTAGAAATGGCCGCTGGATTGAATGCTCATGGCCACTCCTGCACCTCTGCTGCCACAAAGGGCATTTCTATCTGAGGAAGAGGACATGGAATCTTGTGCCTAGGATCAAATGCCCCATCTCCCCTTGGACAATGGTGATGGCTGACATCCTGTGGGCAAGAAATGAAAAACCATACCTGGCACATAAGTCTGGTGTTTGGGGATAGAAGGGACCCAATGTAGTCCACTTGCCACCGAGTCCCACATGGTGCCATACTGGGACTCGGTGTTAGGCTCTGTTCCATTAGATTGCTCACTTGGGGGTGGCAGTAGCCCTTCAGCCTGGGAAAGGGGGAGCACAGGCTGTTGGAGCCCTGTGCAGTCTGCACAGCCACTTGGCTCCTGTGGCCTTCGTGGTAGTGCTGGGGTGGCTGGTGACAGAGTCTGGCTGAGTCACCTGTCATCATTTTAGCCATCATTCCCAGAGCCGTCTTGCTGGTTTGCACTGTTCTTGCATCCTTGCCAGGAGGTCGGACCCTGTGTGTGAGAGAGCAAATCCAATTGGTCGAATCTCCCTTTTCCAGCCCTGGCCCCTTGACCAAGCACCCTCAGATGCCAGTGTTCTGGCAGGCTCCTGGTGGCACTTTTCAGGTGGGCACTGAAACGCCTTTGGTGTCGATGTTCCCCTGTGGGTCATGCTGGAGCTTAACCCTGGTCATGGGCCTGTTGGGAGCAATGCTACATAATTTTAGGGTAAAATCATTTGGTTAGCCTAGTTCTCCTGCCTACAGCCCAGCTATGGAATTGCAAAACATAATTGCATTTTGACCTCTGGTCACAACTGAGACCTCAATGATCCGGTGATGATGCTGTGATTCTCTGGGACAAGATTACACCAGCTGAAGACATCCTGGGAGCAACAAACATCTACTCAGTTCCTCATTGTTCTTGGACTGTTACCATCTTGTTTACCCGGATGTACTGAACTCTCTGCAGGTCATTTGTTACATTTGTTTCTCCCGATGTACTGAGTACTGAATAAAAGGTGCGGTAAACTGGGGGCTTTCGTCTTTGCTGCCCAGAGCAGCACTGATTGGACCCGAAGCTCAGCTTCTTCTCAGTCTCATTTGTCTACCTTTCCTGTCATTCGCCGTGTGCTGCCGTGGCTCGCAGGAGACCAGGACTCACTGCAGAGGTTCTGGTAACGTCCCCTTCCCCTGTTCCCTATATGGGCCTAGCAGTCCAGGGGGATGGGCGCAGACGCCAAGGAGACCGAGAGCTGTCTTGTAAGGGGCTGCGTGTGTCTCCAAGCAGGGGGTCAGGGAGGTTGCTCTTCATGAGTAGGAGAGCCTGACTGTTCCAGATTTTGTGAGGTATCCACATAAATACTCTCGTCATCTCATGGGCTCTTTCCCCAGAGGGCTCTGGCCGAGGCATGGCAGGCCTGCCTTGATCGGAAGTTGGACCTGCCTGGGAGCTTGGGTGCTCTGGCTGGGGATCAGGAGCCCAGGAATCACATGCTCCCAACTAGGTTCTAACAGGACTGCTCCAGCCGCCTGGTGAGAGTTGGCCAGAGGCTGAAGCTGGGCTGCTGTGAGAGCCAAATGGGTGGCTGGGCCCTGGGCCAGGGTGCAGCAAGGTTGTTGGGTGCTCACGTACCAGGCTGCTTCCTGTGCATTTCCCTGCCTCCTTCGCCTCATTAGCTGTCTACCCTCAGGGGCCACCCGGTGGTCCCCCCTTAGGGATGTTACTCCCAGGCGCTGCTCAGCCAGGTGTCTGACCACCTGTCCACCCCGCCCCTGTGGCCCTGCCCTGCTGTCCCCCTTGGTCCTGGCCAAGTACCAGCACTGACTGGCTGCCTGGGGCTGGTGGTGCCTTCTCTGGTCCTGGTATCAGAAAACCACTCTCCAATAGATGGAGAAGCAGGAAGCCACTTCTGTCCCTCAGGGGCCACTGGCTGAAACTCTTTAACCTGGATATAGTTAAGACAGCAACCCTTTTGTGAACCCCATGGGCCTCAACAAGAGGAGGAAGGAACCTCCAATCTGAGCTCCAGAATGGGGGTTTGAAGGAGGAGGGATGCGGTTTCCAACCTCTGGGTCCCGCTCCGGTCTCCAGGAGAAAGCGCTATCTGGGACTGGACTTGCTGCATAGTTGTCTGGTAAGGAAAATGCTCTTGGGAAGGGTGGGGACGTCGGGACAGTGAGGGCTCCGGAAGAAACAGCGTTGGGGATCAGTGGCAGTCAGTGTACTCGGCAGCTGTGGTGAAGAAACTCTTGTGAGTTTTAAGGAAGAGCCCAACCCCTAAATCTTAATCTCCTGCCCTTCAGCCTTGGGAGTCTCCCTGAGACTACCTGACCCTAACCTGTCATAAAAAGGCCCGCATTGGGCTGCATGGCCTGGTGAGTTGCTCTTATGGAAGCTGGAGGAAGGGGATGGGATGGGAGTGGGTCCTGCTCCTTTCAAACCCCATCTGGGGTGCTGGCTTCTCTCTCCGATTGCTTTCCTTTTATCTTCTTCGTCAGGGTCTTGTTATGTTGCCCAGGCCGGTCTTGAACTCATGGGCTTAAGTGATCCTTCTGCCTCAGCTTCTCAAGTAGCTGGGACAACAAGCATGTACCACCATGCCTGGCTGTGGACTTTTCTTCTAACAGTTTAATAGAGGTATATTTTAAATACCATGAAACTGTGTTAATTTTAAGCCTGTAACTCAAGGATTTTTCTAAATTTATAGACGTGCACAGAACCACGGTGTAACTTTAGGACTTTTCTGTTGGCCTAATCAGTCCCTCCGTGCCCATTTGCTCCCACTCCCAGCCCATGATACACACCGATCTCCTTTCTGTTTCTATAAACTTGCCTGTCTGGACCTAGCACATAGGCAGAATCATTCAGTGTCTAGTCTTTTGGGGCCAGTTTCTTTCACTTATTGTGATGCTTTTGAGGTTCATCTGTGTTGTAGCACTTTTGAGCAGTTAGTTCATGCCTTGTTTTTTTTTTGGCTACTGGGGATCAAACTTGGGTCCTTGCGCTTGCAGAGCAGGCAGCAAAACCACTGAGCTAAATCCCCGGCCCCAGTTCATGTCTTTTTATTACTACATACAATTCCACTGTGAGTCTACACCACATTGTTTATTCATCCACTGACTAATGGACATCTGGGTGGTTTCAAGTTTTTGGGTCCTGTGAGTAATACTGCTGTGGACATACAAATCTTTGTGTAGACACATGTTTTCATTTCCCTTCAACAGATACCTGGACAGGACTTGCTGGGTTGTAAGATGTCTTAGTCTACTTTGCTAGTGTAAGAGGATATTGCAGGATGGGGTAACTTGTCAGGGACATAAATTTGTTTATCATAGTCCTGCAGGCTGGAAATCCAAGGTCCAGTACTTAGGTCTTGTGGGGACTTCTTGTGGGGTGTTCACATGGTGGAAGGCAGAAGGGCAAGCAAGGTCACACGCTGGCTGAAAAGCTTCAGTCCCACCATGGAAGTTTGATGGCCCAATCACTTCCTGAAAGTCTCACCTCCTACTGTTCGTTAGGAATTAAGTTTTGGAGGTGGCAAAACATTCAAACCATAGAATTTGGCAAGTTTATGTTTACTTTTTAAAAGCTGCCAAGACCTGAAGATTTAGCTCAGTGGTTCCACTGCCTGCCTTCCAAGTGCAAGGTCCTGAGTTTGATTCCTGATACAAAAAAAAAAGCCCAACAAAAACCCCCTGCCACGTGATTTTTCAAAATGGCAGTGCTTCTTTATGTTCTCACCAACAATGGGTGAAGCTTCCTGCTTCACTGCCATGCTTGCTACTGTCCTTTGGATGATAGCCATTTTAGTTGGTGTACAGTGGTATCTCATTGTGGTTTTGATTTGGATTTCCCTAACAGTTAATAGTGTCAAGCATTTTTCATGTGTTCATTAGTCATTTCTATATCTTTTGTGAAATGTTGGGTCAATTTTGTCAGTTTTAGAATTGGGCATTTCATTTTCCAATGATTGAATTGTGAGTGTTCTTTATATATTCTTGATACAAATCCTTTATCAGGTATATGATTTGCAAGTATTTTCTATCAGCTTGAAGTTTTCTCTTTTCTTTTTCTTAATGGTGTCTTTTGAGGTACAAATGTTTTTAATTTTGATGAAACTCAATTTACCATTGAAAAAAAATGGATTGTGCTTTTGGTACTAAGAACACTGAGTAACCCAAGGTTCAAATTTTTTTTCTAATTTTTCTTCTAGGAGTGTTATAATTTTAGCTCACATATTTTTGTCTATGATCTATTTTGAATTAATTTTTGTTTATGGTATGAGGTAATGATCTAAATTAACCCTTTTGGTTTTTTTTTTTTTGGTACCGGGGATCGAACTCAGGTCTTTTCGCTTGTGAGGCAGGTGACAGAACCACTGAGCTAAATCCTCGGCCCTAAATTAACCCTTTTGCATATCGACATCAATTATCCTGGCATCATTTGTTGAAAAGACTATTCTTTTCCCATTGAATTATTTTAGCACCTTTTTTTTTTGGTACCGGGGATCGAACTCAGGTCTTTTCGCTTGTGAGGCAGGCGACAGAACCACTGAGCTAAATCCCCGGCCGCTTTAGCACCTTTGTAAAAATAAAATCAGCTCATTATAAATGTAATGATGTAGTAATCTGGACTTGGTTCTGTTGATCCTATATTTATGCCATTATCACATTATCTTGACTGTAGTACTTTATCGTAATTTTTGAAGTTGAGTAGTGTGAGTTCTTCAAATTAATTCTTTTTAAACATTGTTTCGACAATTCTGGGTCCATTACATTTCGATATGGTTTTTAGGACTGCTAATCAGTTTATATATTTTTAAAAAGCTTACTGAGATTTGATAGAGATTATGTTGCATGTATAAGATCAGTTTGGGAGAACTGTCATCTTACCAATATTGAGTGTACAATCCATGGGCATGAACTGCCCCTCCATTTATTTGAAATTTACTTAAATTATCTCAAGAATGTTTTGTAGTTTCAGTGTACACACTTTTCATATCTTTTGTTAAATTTCTTTTATTCTTTTAAATTTGTTAAATGTCTTGTTCTTTTTCACATTTCTATGAATAGGATTTTAAAAAACTTTTCATCTTCAGTTTATTTGTTGCTGGCTTCTGGAAACACAATTTGTTTTTGTACAGTAGTCTTGTATTTTGTGACCTTGCCGAACTCATTTATTACTTCTGGTGTGTGGTGGTGGTGGT